CATCTCTCCGCTCTGCCTCGGATGGCACGCAGAGGCATGAGCCACAGGTGAAGGAATGCAGAGCATTCGACCAGGAAACATCAAAAGCATACGACGCAAAATCTAGGACCCGGGAATTCTCGCGAAAGCCATGAAGACTCTGCTGATATCTAACTGCGCTACTGAAATTGGAATGCGTGACAATGACGCCTTTTGGGGTGCCGGTGCTGCCGGATGTGAAGACCACATACAATGTATCCGAAGGTCGGGCCCTCGGGAGTTTGGCGGGTGCCTGGAAATCTATCAAATGTTCGACATAGACGTCGTCAATGACCATGGTCGGTTTTCTGATGAGCCGCCTTGCCGAGTCATGCATGAGTGCCGATGAGAGCGCCAATACTGGGTTTACCTGGGCAATGACAGCTTGCAGGCGTTCCTCTGGCAGGTTCACGTCGAGTAAAACAGATGCTCCGCCTGCCTTCATCACGGCTAGCATAGCGATGGACGTGAACCGAGATTTCTCAAAATAGATGGGTACAACCAACCCAGGTCCTATGCCGAGGCAAATAAGCTGATGTGCCAAGAGCGAAGACAAAGTATCAAGCTCGTGGTATGTCCAGTCACCATCCCAAGCACATACAGCCAAGGCATCTGGTCGATTTCTGGCCGTCTCGGCGATGAGATCGTATACAAGGGCCTCCTCAGCCTTGGGCAAAATACTGTTCCAGCGCCATATGGTCTGGAGGTCTTGCTGGCTAGCCATGTTGTGGTGGCGATCAAACGCAATTCCGTCTTCTTCATGGGCGCCATTTGGTACAGTTTGGTTTTGGTAGCCAAGAAGAGGAGCCATGTTGGTGAGCAAGCAGCACACTACTCGAACGCACACAGAGCTGTTTGTCGTGGAAAAGAGCGATGTAACTGTTGCAAATGATGTTCAAAACATGGAGTTGATTCGTGTCCCGAGTAACTCAACAAGGTCAAGGACACGGACAATGTAGCTTGCTGCAGCAAATTCAAAATGGAGTCAAGTCCTTTACATTGTCGGAGCCGAGCGGCATCTACAAAACTTCCTCACCATCTGACTCCCGGCAGGCATCCGACGCCGGAAAGAAGGATGGCAAATCGTGTGTGGAGATGAATAGGCATGTTGCATGAGGCTCTCACATCAGCTCCTGCAGGACCGCCCCCGAACCGCGGGCCACCGGCACCGATATTGACTATTTCCACCAATGCCTTGAGCATTGCGTCAAGTGCTCACTCCGTGGGCATTCAACTAGGCATGACGGACCTCGGGGGTGCTCGGCACAAGGGCAAAGGATTCGAAGCGTTCGCCTTTTGCAAAGCCGCGGCGCTGACAACAGACAGAGCAGCGGCAGCCAGTGAAAAGTCTGATGACATGAAACCGCTGCCCGCAACATCTAAAATCTCACAGATCCACGTAATCGTCCAGTCTCGAGCTGGCCCCGCTTGTCTCTGGGCTGTATTGAGACGAGACTGGTCACTGCTGATGTAAAGTTGCCGGAATAGATTTGCGGCAAAGGCCACATGTATGCCTTGCTAGGCACCGGGTAAGCGGCAGGGGTCATGCAGGCAAACGGCAGCAGCTTTGCCCATGTTGCTCATGCAATAAATCTGATGACGGTCGTAATTCACTCAATACTACTCCGTATAAGCGCTAAGCTGTCCGCACATGTCAACGAAATGCTCTACTCTCCGAAGCAACTCGTCGCCCCCACGCATGGAAGAAGCAGTCCGGTCTGGTGTCTAGGGCGCGGCATGTGGTGCCGTCAAGTTAATGTTGGGCCACTCCCGCGTCCCCCGCCGTGGCGTGCTTTGAATTGGATGTCAATAGTACATATATCGAATGTAAGCAGTTGGCTGACGTACACGGTACAGGCCAGGGTTTATCTCCAGTCGTCGTCGATGGATCCCGAGCCGCCACCCGTCCGGCTTGGCAGAGGCTCCAACTTGGCCAAAGAGAGGCAGTTGACGCTGTCATTGGCGCCGCAAGATTTGTCCCGTTGCGGTCGAGATTGCATGTCGATGCCAAGGGTGGGGGGTCAGATCGCCATCACGACAGACGAAGAGTTGCGCCCAGGGCAGTGAGCTCCGCGATTCTGGAACCCGACGAGTTGAACTGTACGTAACAGTAACGATGCCATAGGCTCACCTTATTGCTGTTAATGTTGCTAATGCGACACCGGCCCGTACTTTCAACGACGTGAACCAGGTTTCGAGGTGGGCTAACGAACGCGTCACCACCACGGTCCGGCTGACGACATTGACATGCCTCATTTTACACCAATTGTGAGATTCTTCTAGATTATTTGCAATATGGAATCGTATGACAGACTAGGATCCTTTGCCCACGATCCAGGGGGGACCACCCCATCCTTCCCGGCATCAGCTCGCAGCATGAACTCGAAAGACTCGGGTGGTAGTTTGACATGACCAACCATCTCTTTACCCATACTAGTGTCTGTTGATTTAGACTTCACAAATATCCCCTCCGATAACGAATCAATACAATGAGACCGAGAAAAAAAAACAAAGGGGAAAAGACAAGGCCTGCGTAAGAAAAACCATGGAGTTGTTGCATCTTGTTGCGTTTCCTCTGCTCAGACTCTCTATACCATTTCTAGTCTTTGCCATTGCTGCCGGCCACATCATATACGCACTATGGTTCTCACCGTACAGCCATGTCCCTGGCCCAAGACTCTGCAAAATCACGGGGTTTTGGATCATATACCACGACATGATGCTACAGCGCAATCAAAAGATATACCAGTGGCATGAAAAGTACGGTTCCATCGTCCTCATTGCTCCCGGACAGGTCTCAGTCTCGACTGCAAATGTAACGAGACAAATCTACACTTCATCTGGATATCACCCCAAGAGCGCTTATTTTAACAACTTCATCATGTATGGTGAGCGACCCATATTTAGCACCTTGGACTGCAGAGAACATCGGAGGCTCCGTAAACGAACATTTGGCTTCTATCAGCCCACGTCAATCTATAAGCCTGCTGTCCTGGAGCCTATCCGACATCAGATGCTGTTATTCTTGCGGCAACTGGAGACAGACGTGCAGGCCCAAGAGACTCTGGATATTTTGCCGAGGTGTAATATGTACTCTTTTGATAACATTACACGCTTGATCTACGGGCCTTATCACTGTGCCCGCACAGTCGAACCTACACAGCAGGAGCGAATTATCCTGGATGGGTGGAAAGAATGCGAAGTGTGGAACAACTTCCAGTATAACTTCCCCCGCATCTATAGGCTTGTCAAATTAGCCATATGCCAAGCTTCTCGGAACCCCAACTTTCTCACGGCCGAGGAACAGCTTAGTGAGTGGAACATGGCCAAGCTCACCTCCTCGTTGGAGAAGCCCGATACCATTGTGGCCGGGACACTCATGGGCCAATTATATGAGGCGCGCACCGAGCACGGCGAGCCGCTTCCCTTTTCCTGGATGGGTGCCGAATTATTGGATAATATCCAAGCAGCACAGACTACAGTTGCCCTAGCTCTCACTTATGCTCTTTGGGACTTGGCGTGTCATCCTCAGTGGCAGCACCAGATTCGCCAAGAGCTTCTTACAAAGCCGCTGTGTGACGATGGTTTTCCATCTTTTGCCGATATCAACTCTGCAGAGGTACTCGACGCTTGTATCCGAGAGTCCAGTCGACTGAACCCGCTTTCAAGCGGACGTGCAGAAAGAGTAGTGCCCGAGACGAAAATATACGATAATGTTGTGATTCCAGCCGGTGTAGGTTGCTTTCTTCCACCTCTTTCCCCTCTTGCCCGTGTATGCCGCGTTGTGTATTTGATCTTGATACCCACTGCGTCTTGGCCTTCATAGACTAAAAGGCCGTGGCATAGACTATTATCTCGACTTCGACAGCAGCAATACAGCGTTCTCCCGATGCATTTGCCGAACCGCACGAGTATAGACCCGATCGCTGGCTACAAGCTGATACGGCCCAGCTGAGAGCCATGGAGTCCTGTTACATGCCATTTGGATACGGCGCACGCCTGTGCCTGGGGAAAGCATTTGCACTTGCAGAGATTAAAATCATGATGGCATGTTTACTGCTGAGATTCCAATTATCCGAGGATGCGCAATCTTTGACAAACGCACAAACAATGACACAGCTTGGAACTCAAAACGCGCTGCCGCGGGGACTGCGGTGTGACATTAAAATTAGAAGACTAGATGTGAATTAGATGCCTTGACGCAATGAAAAGAATACATGTACAATTGAAGAATAAAATTCAGGCATCAAAGTCGCGCCAGTGTCATGAATTTTGCCGCGAATCGAGCCGTGGTGAAGACCATGTTTCGAAAAGTATCGCTCGTCATCTTTGCCTCGTCCGCGTCAAGCGGAGTCAATCAAGATGAAAGGGCACTAAACGGTGCCGGGCAGGTGAAAAAAAAAAAAAACAAGTCTGAAAGGCGTCAGCATTCTCGGACTCGAATGGTCGTGATCTGACTGCCGGTCAGAAAGACGTACGTAAGCTAGTAAGCAGAGAGCATGCTCATGCTTATTACGTCGCCGCCACAATCCGAAGCTTGATTCTTCAGCTCCACATGCAGGAAATTTTTTTATCAAATCAGAAGCAGAACGGGAGATCGGGGAATGGCGGGATTGTCTGACATGGGACGATAATCTCCTACCGAGACCGCAATGCCGATCCAGCGCTCGTCGTTTCTCACCCCTGGGCCCTGGCTGCATTAGTGTCTTGGTACTAGGCAATAGACGCATATGTACGGAGTATGTATGCATTTGTTTCTTTATTCTCTGTCTGGTGCTTGTCGCGGTGGATCGAGCCCAGTCGCGTCCATGTTTCTGACTGATTTCGCCCTTCTCTCCTCGTGAGCGCTGCTGTCTGGGTGGCCACGATTTGGCATCGATCTTTGGCCCAGTTTGGCGTGCCTTAATATCCTAGGTCGATTCACCACTGTCCTTGTTTTTGTATGATTGCTTCATGTCGTACAAGCAGACCTTGCGTTGATCATGCCTGATGCCGCTCCTCCCTGCTCCATCCAGGTTCAGGATGTCTTTGGCGCTGCCGTCGCCGAATCCTGCTTGCGAGGCTTCGACTTTACGCTCCTTTTTGAGGAGACCATTCTAACAATCCTGCCTCTCGGCATCACAAGTATGCTGGCCCTTTCCCCCTTGTGCTTTGTTCTGGATCCCGCTCTACTCGGCAGAGGCGCCCTGGCAACTAATATCTCCAAGTTCTTCTGTCTTTGCTACGTGTATCAGCCCTCTGGAATTGCCCTCAAAAGGCACAGAGATCATGGCTTTTCCTCCTCAAACTGGTAATTCACCTTGTGCCTTTTTCTGCTCCATGGATGCAGAGCGGCAAGAATCGCGGCTAATGGCGGCTTGTCAAGATGGTCTTTTCGGTTTATATCGCCCTTCAAGTTGTGCTTCTGGCGTTATGGGCCAGTTCTGCCGCCCCTTCAACCAAGACCACTCTGGCGACGGCTTCATTAACAATTGCGGGCTTCATACTGTTTGCCAATTTGTCGTACTTGGAGCACACGCGCTCACTACGACCATCGACGCTCGTTACCATTTATCTGGGCATCTCCATCTTGCTGGATCTCGCACGTGTGCGCACTCTGTTCTTCATTCCCGGCAGCCAGTCGGTTGCCAAAGTCAATCTAGCCAGCTTCTGCGTCAAGCTCATCATTTTTGTGTTGGAGCTGACGGAGAAGCGGCGGCTACTCCTGCCCGCGTGGCAAGATGCTTCTCCAGAGGCGGTGGGCAGTGTCTATAATAGAGTACTCTTTTGGTGGCTGAATAGCCTTTTCATGAAAGGGTTCCGCAACTTGATCAGCATAAACTCATTACCGGCCCTCGATACGGAGCTTCTCGAGACCGCAAATCCAACAGAGCTCGTGGAGAAATGGAACAGAGGTGCGTCTCGGTACTCCAGCTGAGTGATTGACATGGTAAACCGCAATGCTCACCATCACTTGCAGTGAATGCGTCCAACCAAAATGCTCTACTTTGGACATTTCTCCTTCATTACAAATGGGACTTGTTAGCCGGTGTGATACCGCGGTTGGCTTGCATCGGCTTCACATTTGCGCAGCCATTTCTACTGGAAAGAGTCCTTGACTTCACGGCAGAACCGGTTGAGTCGTCCAGGAAAGAGTTCGCCTATGGACTGATAGGCGCATACGCTATTGTGTATATTGGGAAAGCTGTAAGAGAACTGTCCTCGTTTTTCTCTTTTTCTGGCAAACGGCAGAGTACTGACAGCAAACCACCCCAAGGCAACCTTTACTGCATATCAGCACAAGACGTATCGCCTCCTCACAATGTTCCGCGGCAGCCTCATTTCTCTCATCTTTTCCAAGACTCTTCGTATGAGTGCTACCAAGATTTCCGATGCCGAAGCCATCACCTTGATGAGCGCTGATATTGATCGCATTGCTCTGAGTCTGGAGCTGGTGCACGAGTTTTACTCCAGTTTCATCGAAATCGCATTGTCAATGTGGCTACTGTACAGACTGCTCGGTGTCGCCATGGCGGCTGCAACCGCCCATGTAGTTGGTGCGAATACCCACCAAAGAATACATTTCTACTCTCATTGTAAGCGAAGTAGGCTGACGTGACTTCTCAAAAGTATGCCTAGTGTTAGGAATACCTATAGCCGCCGCTGCAGGCAATGCCAACGTCCCATGGTTGGAAGCTATCGAGAGACGTTTGGCTGTGACGACGAAAATGCTGGGTTCGATGAAGGCAATTAAGATGACTGGCCTAACAGACGTCATGTCCAGCGTCATTACGAGCCTCAGATCTTTAGAGATTGGTGCGTCACGCCGCCATCGTATCTTTACTGTCTTGGAGGCCGTTACATGTGAGTACTCCCGGTTTCATGCGGTCATGGAAACACAGCTGACGAAATTGAATCTGCAGCATACACATCCGATGCTTTCTCCTCCGTATGGGGGTTTGGGGTCTTCATTCTCCTTGCGCGATCGAACAATACTACGACATTGACAGAAGGAATCGCATTCTCGGCATTGTCCATTTTTTCGCTCCAGGTCCAGCCTTTAACATTTATTCTGAATGGTTTTGAAGACATTCAAACAATTATTAACTCTTTTAACCGCATACAAGAACATCTAGCATCCGAGGAAAGAGAAGACCCCAGAGACACTCCGGAAACTAGGAAGAATCTCGACAGGGACTCCTCCGAGACTTCACTTGGTTTCGGAGAGCCAAAAGCAGTACCTCTGGGATCTGTGTCTGCACTTGGCGACACAAATGCTGCCATTGTCATCAAAGACGCCACAACTGGATATTCTGCCGAGTCATCCATTCTCAATGGCATAAATCTGGAAATTAGCCGCGGCAAAACGACCGTGGTGGTGGGACCAGTAGGATGCGGCAAATCAACTCTCTTGAGACTTATTCTTGGAGAAATGCCTGTGACTAGCGGAACAGTCTCGACATCATTCTCAAGGGCAGCATTCTGTCCACAGTCTCCATGGATCACCTGGGGCACGATCCAAAACAACATCATTGGCATGTCTAGGTGGGACAAGCCCTGGTATAATACTGTGGTGAAAGCCTGCGCGCTCTCAGCGGATTTCGAGCAATTACGAGACGGGGATCAAACCAACGTGGGAACTAGGGGCTCCCGACTTAGTGGAGGGCAGCAAATGCGTCTTGTGAGCAATCATGTGTCCACCAGCGAACGTGTGTATGTGTGCGTCGCTAACAGTTGGCCGTCCCCAGTCGTTGGCAAGAGCCCTTTACTCTAGAAATCAAGTCATGATACTTGATGACGTGCTCACCGGTCTTGACCGAGCCACCGAAGCAAGCATTCTCGATGCAGTTTTCGGCCCTAGCGGGCTCTTGAAATCGTCACAGACTACCGTGGTGCTAACTACGAATTCGAGTGAGTAGCTGTAGTCAAATAGGCAGTGCTGGAGATTCTTGGCTAACAAACGACAACAATGGAAAGTCAACCATGTGCAATATGCAGACTATATTGTTATTCTAAACAAGGATGGGACCGTTGCCGAGCAAGGCACAAGGGACTCTTTGTCGACCTCTGGAGGCTACATAGAACGACTATCTGGCATAGTGCAGGGGACTACGGTTCGACCAGAGCTCGAACTCACCGAGGAGACGCTTCAGGAGCTCGGCCTACCTGACGATGAAGAAGAACAAGATGTCACGAGTCGCGGAACAAGTGATTGGAGGATCTATTCTTACTTCATTCACGTCGCGGGGAAATGGACCTTCCTCCTATATCTCTTCGGATGCGCATGCTTCATTTTCGGGCTCAACTTTCCTTGTAGGTCCATGGCTGGAAGATTCTTCACCACCTATTGGAAAGTTGCTAACACCTCCCTAGCAATCTGGTTGCAGTGGTGGACCAATGCCAACGCAAAGACGCCCAACGACAAGATTGGCTACTGGTTAGGCATCTACGGCCTGCTGGGAGCCTTGGCGGTTTTGGGTTGTTTTGCCTCAGATTGGTAATTTCCCTGCCTCAATTGCTACGCTGTCATCTAATTATTTCTCAGGATATTCAATATCATTCTGCTGCCTAAAATATCGAGAAAGTTTCACGAGCTTTTGCTCGCGACAACCATGAAGTACGTCTTGTCTTTAAAATGTTGGCTCCGTGCCTTGTTCAACCTGCTAATTTCTCTCTCAAGCGCACCAACATCCTTCTTAACATCAACTGATGCTGGCCAAATTGCCAACAGGTGTGTTTCATAAACTACTTGTTTTATCGGCCAGGAGACTGACGCAGAGTGCTGTCATCCACAGGTTTAGTCAAGATTTGCAATTAGTTGACAACGATTTGGCACATGCCCTAGACCAGACAGTTGTTCAGCTATTTACTGTTGTTATTTCTGCTGTTTTAGTCTTCACCGGCTCAGGCTACTTGGCCGCAACGGTCCCCGTGTGCATCTTCTTTGTCTACATGATACAGTTTTACTATCTACGTACATCACGTCAGCTTCGAATCATAGACATTGAAGCCAAGGCCCCTTTATTCTCTCAGTTCCTGGAAACTCTGGCGGGCGTGTCCTGTATCCGTGCCTACGGGTGGACAGACGACTACCTCCAACGCAATTATCATGTGCTCAATACATCTCAGAGGCCCTATTATCTACTCTGGTGCATACAAAGATGGCTTAATCTAGTTCTAGATTTAATGGTCGGCGGCATCGCTATTATCCTCGTTGCTTTTGCAACCGCCACTGCCGGTGGAAAGACTGGCTATCTTGGTGTTGCTCTATTCGGCATCATTAATTTTAGTGGCACGCTTCAGACTCTTATCGCACAGTGGACACAGTTGGAGACGGCCCTTGGCGCCATAAGCCGCATAAGATCATACGTCTCAAACACTCCATCCGAAAACCAAGGGGCCGATACACGTCATCCTCCGGAGGGCTGGCCATTAAGTGGCACAATCGAGTTTAGTAATGTCTCGGCTTCTTATCAGTCTTCTCAAGAGCCAGTCTTGAAAGATGTCAATCTATCCATCACTGCTGGCGAGAAGGTGGCCATTTGTGGCCGTACAGGCAGGTAAGTTTTGCTCCGTTTTTGCTACACAACTTTAAAGGTTCGGTGTTAACTTTCCATGTTGCTCCTTTGCGCAGTGGCAAAACGTCTTTAATCTCCACGTTATTACGCCTTCTTGAGCTGGATACGGGAAGTGTTACTATTGATGGCGTGGACATTAGTACGATTCCCCGGCAGGAGGTGCGCTTACGGCTGAACACGCTACCTCAAGAGCCGTTTTTCTTACAAGCCAGTATACGCGATAATGTTGATTTATTGCACTTATCCGATGACGAATCTATTATTGCCGCTCTTCGGTCCGTAAATCTGTGGCAGATGCTGGAGGAACGCGGTGGGCTGGATGAGATGATCAGCGAAGAGCTTCTCTCTCATGGGCAGCGGCAGCTATTCTGCCTCGCACGCGCCATTGTGAAGCCCAGCAGTATCGTCATTATAGATGAGGCAACCAGCAGGTATGTTAAAATTCCAACTTTGAAGAGACTTTGTTTTTGATTCCCCACCTTGCATGGTTTGCCACAAAATACAGGCGTGTTATCAGCTCGCCTCACGCAACCACATTACTAATGGGTGCATAGTGTCAACTCGGATGAAGAAGAAATAATGGAGCGATTTCTACAAGATGACTTTCGTGGCCGAACCATCATCGCCGTCGCCCACAAGTTACACACAGTGTTGGACTTTGACCGTGTTGTGCTCATGGACAAAGGCCACATTCTTGAGAATGGTAATCCGCGGGAGCTTCTCGCGAACTCTGAGTCTGCTTTCCATTCTCTGTACATGAGCTTATCTACTGTATCTGAGAAGAAACAAGGCCAATAAAAGAAGTTGAAGGCTTGTCTGGGAAATTAAAATTTACAAATATCATGGCAGGACAAAAAAGTGATCAGAGCCTTATAGAGTAGACTACAAAGGGATCAGAACCTCGTAGAGTATAGAACAGGTCGGATCAATCTCTGTAAATGTTCTCCAACTACGTGCGAGGCACGATCCCAGAAACTTAAAAAAACGCAAACATAATGTATTCGAAAGATGGGAGTACGAAGTTAGTATGGACTAAGCAGTAAGGGTTTGGTGGACTATTTTTATTAATACTGTGAACATTTTCGCCCTGTCATGTACCCAACAGTGCCCGGTAGTTACTTGGCCGTTCCTTCTACTCGGCGGTGCTGCCACGGGTCAGGTTAATATTGACATTGATGTATGTATCCGACCACTCATCACTGCTTTCAGCTCACTGCTTGGTCGCAAAGTTGCATACCATGACTTATTGTAGTCTCATTAGCTCCAAGTCCATCAGAGTAGTAGCCCCATGAAACAAAGCCAGGCCGCAAAATTTGCGTTTTTCTTCCTTTTCCAATGCACTTACCGAGACTGTGATTAGGCAGATGCCTTCACTATACTACGTCTTACATGTCATCTGGTGAGAACCAACGTCCCATCCAGGTGGATCGACCCGCCATATATTTCTGCAGTCAGCGTGCAGTAGCCGAGCTACTACTCAGAGTAAGCACAGGTAGCATGCTTACTGCGTCCTGCTAACAGGTTCAAAGATACCTGAACCTGATTTAAATCACACCTGGTGGCACAGAACTGCGGGACTACTTTGTTTGTGATTCCCGAGGCGGGTCGTTTAAGTCCGACATTCATGACAATGGCTCGCAGCGATTATAAATACGTTAAATACTCCCATGGTTTGCTGACGGATACAAGAAGAGTGGATTCGGTTTAGTATGAGGACGAGTACGTAATTCTTACTCACAAGCTGTGTTTCAACATGCGTCTAGTAGTCATCACCTCTTTAATTGCCTGGATAGGGTCCTTCTCCCTCTGCGATGGCAGAGAAAATCCAGCGGCCCAACGACGCCCAAAGTTGACTCAACGCGGCGTTCACTTTGACAAATGGACTCGGAACGGCGCTGTTCCCAGGAAATTCGACAGCGTCAGTACAAAGAGTGAGTAGAAGGGTATTCAAGCCGTTTTCTTGTGTAAACTAGATGAAATAATGCTCATGGTTAGCAAACTAATTAATCCACGAACACAGGATTCGCTGTTAATGGCACCGGGATTCCTGATGTTGATTTCGACATTGGTGAAGCATATGCGGGGACTCTTTCCACTACCAAGGATATAAATGGAACTGAGAGATTCTACTTCTGGTTCCAACCCTCACCTAATCCGGCTGCGAAGAAGGAGATTGTTATCTGGCTTAATGGTGGTGTAAGTCATTCGTAATGTAGGGGGCCAAAGGAGCTGGGCACTATAACCATGACGCCGATTCTATTACTTTTGGTCTCGAGACTAACTTTCTTGACGATTTCCTAGCCCGGATGCTCATCCCTCGAGGGTTTTCTGCAGGAAAATGGGCCTTTCTTATGGCAGTATGGCACCTTTAAACCCGTCCCAAATCCGTGGGGCTGGCACCATCTCAGTAACGTGCTCTGGGTAGAACAGCCAATTGGAACGGGCTTCTCCCAGGGAAATGTGACGGCTAGGAATGAGGATGATGTAGCGAAGCAGTTTTTAGGCTTCTTTAGGAACTTTGTTCAGACATTTTCCATGCAAGGATACAAGGTGTACATTACGGGGGAGTCTTATGCGTAAGTCTTGGTGCCAAGTCTGAAACCTGGTGAATCGATTCAACTAATGAAATCGGCTATAGCGGCATGTACTGCCCGTATATTGCGAACGCTATGCTAGATGCAAACGACACAAACCACTTTAACATGAAGGGTATGATGATCTACGATCCTGTTATCGGCGATACCAGGCTTCAAAACGATATTGTCGCTGTTCCTTTTATCGATTCCAACCGGAACTTATTTCCACTCAACGATTCATTTGTCAAAGAAATCCATCGTGCTGACAACAATTGCGGCTTTGCCGCCTTGCGTGCAAAACACCTCAGCTACCCACCAAAGGGTCGATTGCCCTCCGTCTTGCCGGGTCTCGACCCAAAGACGGGTGAGGTACTTCCAGCCTGCAGTCTCTCGCAGCGCGTTCAAGATGCCGTCACTGCGCTCAATCCATGCTTCAACATATACCAGATAGCAACAACCTGCCCGTTGTTATGGGACGTGCTCGGCTTCCCCGGTGCCTTTGAGTATCTACCTCAGGGTGCCTCGCTCTACTTTAACCGCACAGACGTCAAGAAAGCCATTCATGCTCCTCTCAATGTCAATTGGATGTCGTGCTCCGACGATTCTGTCTTTGCTGGTGACGGCGAGGACCACTCTGAGCCATCTTCCAACCATGTTCTGGGTCGTGTCATAGACGGCACGCAAAACGTCATTATTGGCCACGGCGCATTGGACTTTGGTCTCATTGCCAATGGTACACTTATGATAATTCAAAACATGACATTTGGTGGAAAGCAGGGCTTCCACAAGCGCCCTGATGAACCATTTTACGTCCCATACCACACTGATGGCGCTGATGCCACATTAGCAGGCGCTGGTGTTTTCGGCACGGCGCATACGGAACGTGGCTTAACGTATGTTGACGTTTCGCTGGCCGGCCACATGATTCCACAGTACGCGCCAAGCGCCGCGTATCGACATCTCGAGTTTCTTCTTGGCCGAGTCGATTCGCTTAGCAGCACTAGGCCGTTTACCACTGATTCTGAGAGCTCTGGGTAGTTGAACATTCAACAATTGATGTGTTAAAAAGGCGGTCGTAGCCAACAGGTGTACTAGATACATATGCTATCGCTAATTTGAACCTTCTCGATAGCTTATTGGATAGCCTATAGTGTGTGGGGGCCCCACGAGCTATTAGGCAACTAAAAAGAGATACCGTCCCACCCCTGAATTATTTGTCGTGCGTGACCTGACAGGGAAGTTTATAGCAGGGGGTAATATACTAATTATAGCTTGTATATTTTAAGAAAGGTTTATATAAAACTTTTTCTAAGTAATTATTATTTTTTTATTAGGTCTTATATTAAATATAATTTAAGGGTTAAACCGTATAATCTAACCTGCATATAATTAACTACCCTGTAACCTAATAAGGTTAATAAAGTAGGGTCCTCTAGCTATATTAATAATTTATTTGCTAATTATAAATAGCTATTAAGTAATATAATAGGAATTAATAAAAGTATATTAATTATTTTATTTTATCCCTTGAAATTTAAGTATTTATTGCCCCCACCTTTTCACTTTTTATTAGCTGTATACCCCCTGAGGTCACGGATGGTTACATGTAGCGAGTCAACATTGAATACATACTGGCAGGTGCAACAAGCAACCAGTCAATTGACTGCACGGACCATAGCGCATAAAACAACATTGAACATAACAGGGGGTACCCTAGCTTTGTGACATACACCGCTGAAACAATCTTGTATTGGGGATGGTTTTTGAATGCATGATGGCGCAATTTCACACATGCAGGCTGAAACGGTATTGGTACATGCAGTACTAGTACATTGTTAGATATAGCCTGTCCGGCTTCGAAGCAGTAAGCTACTTTAAAATTTCCACTTTCTGTGAGTTTATATAGTTCATATTCCCAGTTGATTCCATGTTCCCTGCTCTGTTTCTTTGAGAATTATGCCTTGATCCCAGCAGAAATCGCTATATCCGTCCGGAGGGCATAAAACGCCGCATTGTACAACTCGTGTTGCCAAGAAGATAAACCCCGAATTACATATCTCGCAATGGGTACTCCGCGAAACCTGTTAGTAGGTTATGTATACGATATTTCTCCGTCATGGGAAATGCCTCTAATGGTCCTTCAGATGCTCTCCCGACCAACCTTTACCATGCGATGTGGTCGTATGCCTGTTTTGGTCATTGCGTTAGTCGCCTTCCATCTGTACTTGATCAGAGCCTGGCTCGAGAACCAGAATTGGCAGTATGGTGGTGTCGCGTCGAGCGCCCTCCTGGACGTGTCCGAGGCGGCGCAGAACGAGACTCTCGGTTTTGAGAAAATTTATTACATCAGCCTGCCTCAGTATGACACCGCAATTATCTTGGGGCTGACAGTTTCAAAAATAGCTAACTTGGCATGTCTACGTAGTCGGACTGATCGTCAGGATATGATGACTCTGCTCGCCGCATCTACAAACATCAAGCTAGCCCTTCAACCAGGAGTATTTGAAACCCCCCCCCCAGAAATCATTAGCAAATGCCCATATTCCAATTATTGCTGGAATTTCTAACTTGTGGGCGATAGGTAAATGGATCCAACGTCAACGACAAGGCGAAACCGAAAGGGAGTGAGAGTCTAAGACCTGAACAATTGGGATGCTGGCGTAGCCATGCAGACATTTGGCAGAGAATCATTAATGAAAAAGTACAAACAGCTATTGTCTTGGAAGACGATGCAGATTGGGATGTCGAGATCCACGATATATTTCAGACATTAAGTGTGCAAATGAGGAAAGGCGAACTGAGGAAACGGAAAGCTACAAAGTACGAGATTAATCACGCCCCTTATGGTAAATAACAGTTCCCACTCCCACTCAGCTCTGGCCTATCTCTGAGTAGACTTTGGTACTGACAGTAGTGGTTTTCAGGCCTAGACTGGGACCTTTTATACATCGGCACCTGCTGGGACATTCCCAATGGAGAAAATCGCCCGAAGCATCAAGTGTATAACGATCGGTTTTCTCCAAATTCGGCCGAGTATGTACATCTCTTACTCTGTACATGTCGAGCGCTCGTTGAGACTCGGCATGGAAATCGCATTATCGATATCGTCAACATTTGGGAGACTAAAATTTTGTAGAATGACCAGTTCCTTCCGTAAGGAACTCGAAGACTGGGGAGTTGACCTCGCGAATAACACCCGAGTTCGAGTTTTGGCGCCGTCCTGGTATTCCGTGTGTACTATTGGCTATGCATTAACCAACCGAGGAGCCCAGAAGCTGTTGTATACGATAGGAAATAGGGAAAGTATGGGAGCACCTATCGATCTGGCCATGATAGACAAGGTGCAAAAAGGATACCTGGACGCTCTTACCATAATACCACCATTGGTGACACCATGGAAGACTGGGAGGGTTTCAGATAGCGATATTGATAATCTCGCTGAGCGGAAAGGAGAACTTCCCTCTGGTAGCGAGAATTTGCAAAACAGTGCGCGGAAGGCCTTGGAGAACTCTCTGCTCGGCGTCCAAGGAGACTAAAGCAGGAGGGCAGGAGTCAAAGTCTGATTATCCCGGGACACCGGTCTGGTTAATATAATGCTTGTAATGCATTTGTTCCAGAAATGTGCAGGACAGTGAAAGACTCGGGCATTTCATGGTAGTCTTGCCACGCTTTCTCGAACTTATTCAAGATTCTATTATTGTCATATATTGAGATGCTTTCATGCATTTGTTTCTCCACCGCCACTTTACCCGTCTTGTGTCAATTGGCGGCCAACGGTACTTGCAGTCAGGGGTCAATGGTGGAATGAGCAACTGAGCTTTGCAGCGTTACATGTAAGGTCATTATTGGCATTTCCAGCAGGTTTGCCGGCAGCAGCATATACATATGTATGCTATTGTTTATTTTGGTGGAAACTATGTGAGGGAATTGCGTTGACGGACAGAATTACGACATTGATTATATTTGCAGCCAGACTCTATGTCCCCTTGCAAAATTTCACGCGAACCCCGGCCTTCCCACCTTGGTTGTCAAGATTTAACCTGGTCCCACCGGACCATACCAGATACCAGATCATCTCTTTGAAGGTCGAGCACTTTATGGGTGCCAAGCCCAGGGGTCAGTAACCAATCGGACGATAACAGGTAAATCTCTTTAGTTGCGGAATAGCTCGTGGAGAACTCCACTGCCATGCAAATTTCTTAGGTAAGCGAGTCTCCATGAGCTATTCCGCAACTAAAGAGATAGTACTTTTATTTACATATAAATTAAATAATATTAATTGTATTAATAACCCTATTAGGTATAAGTAGTTATATTATATTAATTACACTATTATACTCCTACTTAGTAATGGCTTTGTTCCGTTACGGTCTGTGGGGCAGCGGGGCCCCCATCAGGTGCTTGGCTTTTAAAGAGATAGTGTGACCAGTTAATAGCTTTCAGGACCTGTCAGTCCTTGAGTCGCTACATGTAATTAATTGCCCATGGTCGGATCTCTCCAAGAGAAGATGCGTGGATGCAATCGACAGACCCGCCAACCGCTAGGGATTCGATGGGCCTCGTGATAGCCATGACTTGTTTCATGAAATTAAAGCAGTATAGTGGAAACATATAATGTCTTTGTCGGGTGAATAAGCTTTCGCGGCGTAGTAAACTTTTATTAATTTTGTTCGACATTACTCGGAGCAGTCGTAGCTAATGCTTGATTTCGCTGATCAGGGGAAGATGATTGTGGTAAGCTGTTGAGCAGACTGTCGTGCCAAAGCGCCAGCGAGACGACGACAGGCGCCCACCCTAAACCAGCCAATTAATGCACATGCACGTTGACGCCACAAAGTCAATACAGGGCCACAGCTGCCAAGCTACGTCTGGCGTCACAATGACCAAGCTGCATAAAGAATTAATCTATCTGACTCAGTCTAGTCGCACCAATACAAGCAACACGCACCGAGGAATTCCCGCCGCAGCGCCATCACAAGGCAGTACTCGGCGTGATTTAGTTGTTCATGCATGTATGATGTATACACGCCGACGGCGCCTACCGCTTAATGCCAATACTAATTGACAACATCAAGTTTGTAAGCACAAGTCGTCTTCACCAGGACCGAGGCTACAGACAAGCCCCAGAAGATATGTTGCGCGAAAAGCATACAATGTCAACCGAGTTTTATATAAGCTATTTATAGTCAAGTTATAAAGCTAAAAATATAAAGCCAGTAGTAGGGCTCTATAGGGACCTGTACATAGCGGCGCGGGCGCGGGGTCGCTGGGCGAAAGCCGCACGACGCTTCCCTTGCGTGCATGTGAGTCCTTGGCACCGGCCTGAGGGGTCTTGCACTTGTCCATCTGACCAGTCTCGGGAATAGCAGGACCCTGGAACTCGGGGTACTGTTCCAAGACAATTTCAATTGCCTTGTTTTTGGCGGCATCATCGATGGGGCCTGCACCTGTGGCATTGTTTGTGTCAGAGGCCAGCCGCGAGATCATAACGCACGGGCTATATAAGGCCAGCCAGCAGGTTTTTTTTAAACTTTATTTTGCATAAGCAATTTGGAAGCCTTGTCGTCAGATGTAGGCGTGGATGGGCCGGCCGCGATAACGTCTTTGACCGAAGCTACTATTGGGCAGGCATCGCATTTGCCATCGCCAACCAGGGACATGATGTCTTGATTGCGGTCGGCATCAAGGACGCCACTCTCTTTGATGCTGACGTACTGCCAAAAGGTGAAACTGCGCTCGAACTTGATGACACCCTTGCTCGTCTTATACACGGTTGCCGTCTTGTTTTCACATGGGATGGATACAATCTCCTGTTCGAAGTAGCCGATAGGATCCTGAGCCTCTACGGGGGACTCAGCCACGGCAGCCGGCTCTGTGACGTGTTCATCCGCGACATCGCTGGGGCATGCTTCCGTCTCGCCCTTGTCGCAATCCGAATCGCCGCCGTAGGTTGTGCCGTTACGAGTGTAGCGGCCAATCTTCAGGTCGCGAACGGGGTTGGTCCAATACTTTTCCATCGCGGCCAGCCTAGCGTTCTCATCACGGGTTTTGTCGTTGATGTTGTGCCAGTTGATACGATTCCTAAAGAGCAACCAAGGTGTTCCGGTAACAGAGGCATTATCCTTGAACTCCTCATTCCACTTCTCAAAAATTCCATTCAAGTACTGGCCCGCCTGAGTGGTAAACCAGCCATTGGCTACTTTGCATTCAACACAGCCACGCTGAACGGCCGGGTACGCGCTGCCCTCCCTAAACAGACAGTCTCTGTAGGCCTTGCGCTGCTCCTCGGTAGCGGTATCCCGTGAGCCCTTTGTACTTTACTCGCATCTCTTCGAGAGGCCCAACTCGGCGGGGCCGGGCGGCTGGAGCCTATCGGTATTGCAAGTGTCAAACGTCCAGGACGGATGGCATGTATCATTAAGGTTGTGGGTTGGCGCTACTCGGTTGATCCCTTCCTCGGTCGTGAATTCGCACCGGCGGTCGAGGCAACAAGGAGTGTGGGCAACATGGTGAGGGACTTGATAGTTTTAATAAAAGGCCGACTGAATTATAATAAGAAATTAAAGAGTGAAAGCACTGTGGGAATAGCAGGGGTTGAAAAGGACGAGATTCAAGACTGTTTGACCGGCTACGCTGGCCCTTAAGTACCTGGCCAAAAACTTGTAACTATTTGATATAATGAATCAAAACTTCGTACAGTACGACACAGGTCATGCTCTCTTGGCGCTAATAATAACTTGATCCACCCAGTAATGTTTCACATGACAGAATATTGTACGGAGCAGGGTTGTGCCTTGGATTTTGAAATAATATTAATATATAGTATAATGCGCTTTAACGAGTATCAATTTCTTGTCGCGCTTGCCGCGCACCTTGATAGGAAATAGGCCACTATCATAGTTTCTGACCTCGTATGCAATCCGAGTCAGTTAATCACAGTACTTCTCTAGTCTTCTATAATCAAAAACCGCGCTTTAAGTCAGTTGGGCCATAGACTCGTCTGGACTATAACATGCTGGTGGACTGGCAAAATCCTGCAGGCGTCAATTAAACTATTCACAGGTTTGACTCTTTTGGACAAGTATTGCTTGAGTATCATGCATTGTATGTCGCGGTCTATCCCGGATTTAGTGGCTTTCTTCTACTCTAGTGGAAATTCTTGGTCAACATCTTGAATGCCGGCTTGCTTCATTATCAACCGTCCCGTACGCGCTTCTACTTTTCCACCACTTGCGAGCTCCAAAGCCTCCCATCGAGGCCATATGCTTCTGTTAGAGGTGCGATAGTGCCCCGACCAGAAACCAGTCTGGGCGGTCCAAGATGGACGACACTGTCAGAGCTTGTGTTGATCAGAGAATCGTCAGTGTCTCGGCAATGGGCAATTTCTTGGGCTTCTCGGGATGAGCAGCTTGCTCATCTCCGTAGTTGAGATGGGCCTTGAGCTTATAATCCTCTGGGACACCAGCGAATTTCTTGATAGCTGCCTCGACAGGCGGAATAGCATTCATGTGCTGCAGGTTGGCTCCTACTCCCTCCAGCTCCAAGGCAGTCCAGACAAGGATCTGGTGAATGCCTTGAGCGTGATCACCCCATTCGCTGAACATGTGGCTGGTTGCCTTGTGTGTCTCAGCAGCCTCCTTGGTCGTCTGGCCACGCTCCCAGAAGAGTATCTAGACCGCGTTAGACAGTCTGCTTGTGAGTCACAAAAGTTGTGGACGTACGGATCCATATGCAGCCTTGTGGTTTTGGAGAAAGGGGCCCAGCTTTTCCCAGAGGGCGGGATTGATCGACTTGAGGACCGGCTCAACCTTCTCGAGGATAATGCTCCAGAGCTCTTTGTGCTTCTCTCCGAAAGCGAGCGAAATGCGAACAGGCTGCGTGTTGTAAGACGAGGGGGCGAAGGAAAGGACATTGGAGACCAGCTCTTGGACACGTTCGTCCGAGACCTTGGAGGTTCCTGCCAAACCATGGACACTGCGACGGTGAGCCGCAGCTTCGAGCCACTCGTCAGCCGTGATGGAAGGCATTTTGGCAGAATGTGTAGGGACTGGATGTTTTCATCTGACTTGGGATGCGCCTCATGAGAACTACATACACATATATATACATACCTAGGTATGTATATACACTACGTCTCACGCCCGTCAAATTCCGGAACTGTATCCAATGCTACACGGCAGAGTGCTTTGGCCGCATGCTGGCGATGAGGCGGCTTACGTGCTTCCTGTGGCCTTGATGACTGCACAGTGGTTGGCTGTTATTGGCCCCTGGTTTGAGTGATTTTCATTCCCGGGGGATACAAAGTCCGCCTCAGAAACATTTCCCCGGAGAACAAACCAAAAGGCGACCACATAACGAACAGGAGAAAAGTAATCGAGGCTGCGTCGTCGTTTATTTGGACAAGCGAGCCAATAAAAATAGGGTCGTCTGGTTCGACGTGTTTCCATTACTTCGAATGCTGACAAACTCTCTCAAATAAACTGCAAAGATGTTCATCAATGTCCGAATGCCAGCATCAGCTATAGAAGGCAACGTGGCTGTCCAGCCTCGACCGCATAGATGTGCAGAGAGGGCTGTCTGTCAGGGAGGGGAGACGAGTGAGGGCAGTGTTTATGAAATGTGCATGCTGGCAGCATAAGCCTTGTTCTGCTTGCTTTTCGTTTATTTTTCAACCTCCTAGTCTGCTGTCTACTGTCAATGGGTCTGGTCCGTTGGGTCTTTCTTCTGGCTGTTCTGATGCAGGCCGTGGCCGGGCCGACCGTGCGGCACGAGTACATTGACTTTGGTGTCTGAGACCACCTCGACTTTGAGGCATATCTGGCGTCTCTATTGGCGTAATTTTATTCTGTAGTCCTGTTATGTCTATTCATGTATAGGTAGCGAACAAGTTCTAATTTATCATAGCCATGGTACGGCCTCTTGGCGTGATGCTAAGAGTGCTGCAGCCTCGTGATGTCACTCAAAACGGCAAGCAAAGTTCAATTTGTATCAACCAAATCAACGTGTGAGAAAAAAAACATTCTTGCATTCATAATGCAGGCAATCATTTAAATTGGGTTTTAGTATCATTCTTGCATCAAAATTTCCAGGCGTGGACAAGTGAAACTCATGTCAAGGACTGGAAGACTTGGAAGCTTCTCGTACGGAGACAGGCATAGGGTAGTTTGGCCCAAAGAAACACGCAAACCACATGTGCACGCAAACAAAGCGACACCTTGTTCACCGGGTAAAGTCAAGTCTGGTCTCATATATGCGCAGTAGTACGTGCTGATGTTCTGCCCTCTCACAACTTCGCATCGCACCACGGCCTTTCATTGCCGCCCAAAACCAATCTGTCCGATGTCGATGTGCAACTATTGACGGCCAGGCCCTCACTCGAAGGCAAGATCCTCAACGCTGTCCAACTAGCTTGTCCCATGCGCGGCCAGGGACCACCTACATGTCACACCAGACCGCATCGTCGGCGTCAAAGCCGCTAAAACATTACGGAAGCGCACGTCAGGTTAAGGTCCGGCTTTGTTACGCCCGCCGACTAAAGCTTAGTGGTACTTTGCAAAGTGTTTTCATTTCCTATAACTCTGTTCTATAATAAATGTCAAGATACCCAAACCAAAACAACAAGGTCAAAAAACTCATGTAAGCTACTAATTAAGAAAACCCATCGCCTTCCAAGACGATACATAGGACCGCACCACCTCGGCACTCACCGGCCCCTCCGCAGCCATGATTTTGGAATGCTCACTTGATCTTTGCGTGTCCAACACGATACCGCCACAAGCCATGCGCTCAAAGTGGCCCTCGAGAAAGTCCAGAGCGAGGGCGGCAGGGTTCTCAGCCGGAGAAAGAGGCGATTGGCGAACCCGTCTAATCCACTCTTTAAAGGAAACGATGCCATGGGGAGGAATATCCAGAGCCGCCGCCAGAACCGTAGACATGTCCCTCCACGGCTGGCCGACGGGGTTGTCGACGTGATAGACCGGATACGCCTCCGTTGCTTCGGGGCGGCCGTCCATGTTGAGCAGGTCGACCATGACGCCGGCGGATTTATCCACGGGCAGCCAATGCAGGTCACCGCGCAGGTCGGGCAACGCCTTGAGCGCCTGGGAGCTCTTCACCACGAAGGCAAAGTGCTCGACTGGGTTCCAGAAGCCGCTGGCCGTCGACCCAGAGATCTGGCCGGGACGCGCCACCATGGCCCGGAAGAGCCGCGGGTGACGGCGCAGCGTGTCGGTGAGCATGCGCTCGCACACCCACTTGCCCTCGTTGTAGCCGCTGGGCATCACCGCGGCCATGGGCATGGCCTCCTCGAGGACGGGGGACTCGGCCGAGAAGCCCGTCACGCCGATCGACGAGATGAACTGGAAACCGACCCTGCGCGGCTCGGTTCCCGCCGCCATGTCGCGCGCCAGGTCCAGCAGGTTCCGCATCACCTTGGCCTGGGGCTCAAAAGCCCTGAGTGGCCGCGTGGCGCTCATGGGCCAGGCGTTGTGGATGATGTGCGTGCCGTGCTGCGCCAGCCAGGTGTACTCGTCGTGCGGTAGACCGAGCTGCGGCTTGGAGGCGTCGGTACCGTATACGCGCAGCTTCTCGCGCGCGGCGGGGGACAGCTCGATGCCTCTCGAAGATAGTGCCTCTGCCTGCCGCTCGTCGGCGGGCACGTCGCTGAGGGTGCGGTTGATGCAAACCACAGCGGCGACGTGCGGCCGCTCGGCGAGTGCTTGAACAATGTGCGACCCGAGGCTGCCCGAAGCGCCCGTCACGACCACGACGGCTCCGGCGCCGGGATGGTTGCCGATAGTGCCCTTCGCCGCAGCTTCAAGCGCGGCCGACTCCCAGCCAGTCGTGTAGGCTGCCACTAGGCGCATTGCCTCTGCCTCACGGGCTGCTACATCACCCCTATTAATTACTTTCGCCGCTGGGACAGGTGATTCACTCACCGCATCCTGACTTTGGCAGCTGACGTCCGAGGCGTCATCGGGAGTGGAGATGTCCGAGGTCGTGTCTTCGTCCGCCGAGTCTGAGAAGACAACATCACCCTCTCCGGCCGCCATGTCTTGGTCGCTATCTTGGTCGTCATGCTCTTCCTCCACATCCTCTTGCCCCCCGGCCCTCGCCAAAGCATTCGCCACACAGGCAACGAACGCGCCAAGACTCGTGGCTACCATTGTCTCTGCGCGATCGAGCGTGCAGTGAAAGGTATTCTCGACCTCGCGCGCCAGCTCCATGCTCATCAACGAATCAATGCCCAGGTCAGCCATCTCACTGTCGAGGCTCATCTCGCTGGCCTCGATGCCAGAAACGCCGGCGACCACGTCGCGCACCTCGTT